GAAACCCACTCCACACCAGGCCCATCGCACCACTCGTCAACCGAGGACTCGACGACCGAGGACAGCCATTGCTTGTGCTCCTCGGCCCGCCACCCCCTGCCAAGAACCCCGAGATTGCGTCCCCTCGGGCTCTCTCGACGGCTTCCATCTTCGCGGCCTCGGCCTCCCTGGCAGCTCTCTCCAAGGCCTCAGCTGCGGACCTCTCAGCCTCTGTCCTGCCCCGATCTGCGGCCTCCGCCCGCAGGGTCATCTGCCGAAGGCTCTCCTCCAGCATAGCCATCTGCCGGACAGCATCAGCATTCTGGCGGATGAGCTCCCGCATCTTAGCCTCCTGCTCAGCCTTGCGAAGGCGCCACTCCTCTAGCCGCCGGGCTTGCTCCCCGAGGGCAATGCAGGTCTACAAAAACAAAGGAGTTAGCAGGGCCGAACATGGTTGCTTAGCTCAAAGTAAGGGAGAAAGATATAACCATCGAAGACTTGCCGTGAGGGAAGACCGGAGGATCCTGTCCTCGAGGGCTTCATCTTCATCAGCCCCGAGGGCTACTCTGTCAATATCGAGGGTGATGCCTCTCAGAAGCGCCCTCGGGTCAGCCGTACCGTTCATCACGGTCGTACCAGCCGGGAGGGAAACCATAAGGACCTTGGAAAATGGCCCCTGAACACCCGACGGCACTTTCGCCACCTGCATCTCCTCATGCGCCCCGGAGGCAGGGCATTCATCAACAATGATCACCGGGGGGACTTTCTTCCCGGCATCCCCGGTCTTGGGCTTCTTGCCCTCGGGATCTCTGCCCGTGCCCTTCCTTTTGGCGGCGGCGGCCGCGTCAGCGCTTGGGCCCACTGACGGCCCCTCCGGCTTCTTGAAAAAGTCACCGGCGGGTTTCGGGACACCAGCGTCCGTCCCCCTCGGGCCCTTGGAGGGTTTCTTCTTCTTCAGGTCCGCAAGGCCTTTGACGTTCATCATTTTCACTGGGACACCTGCAAAAATAGTATGGGGTTAAAATCGAGGGGTTACTAACCGAAGGCACAAGGAATAAATAAAAAAAAACGAACAAGATAAACTATGTGCTAAGATATGAAAACCAAGGGACCTCGTAGACTACCTCCTGCTCCCCCGAAGGCCTCAGCAAAAATGGGGTACTTCTCGTCCGCTTCCCCAATGAAGTGGTATCTCCGAAAGCCGAGGGCGTAGAGTCCCTTGTCGGCAGTGTAGTCTTTGATAGAGACCTGCTTCGTGCGACCCTCCGGGATTTTGGTTATCACCAGGCCATCTTTCTCGAGGGCGGCGCTTCCAACCTTCGGATGCCGACGGAAGCGATCCCGAAGTTCCGCCGGAAATGGGTTCTCAGCAACACTGACATAGCATCAGCGCTCCTTCCAGCCCTTATTGGACGAAGGCGCCTCCGTAAATAGCTTCCACCTGGCTACCTGCTGCAGGTTGGCGAAGCCCTCGGCATTCGCGTGACCCCCTCGACAGAGGTTGAAACTCTGGAAGAACAAGTCCAGGCTGGGGGTCACCCCTCGGTCCCTACAGAGGTTCAAAAAACCCGCCACGTAGGAGTGGCTATTAGGTGTCAGTTGGCAGGGTACCAAGCCAACAAACCTCAGGTACTCCCGGAGGAAGGGGTGCATTGGGAACCGAAGGCCCATGGAGACCGACAGTACGTGTACTGCAATACACCCCTCGGGCGCCCGAGATAGCACGTCGTCAACTCCCGGCTCGACAACCACGGCCGAGGGCCCTACGTGTAGCTGCGTGACGTAGAGGTCCGCCCTGTCCGCCTTCGACTTTATCTCCAAGGCAGCCGTATTGAGCCAGGAATACCCCTCCGGCATATCTACGGGTTTCCCCTGATCAGCAGCAACAACCTTCTTCTTGGGGGTAGCTGCCTTGGCCTTCTTCTTCGCGGGGGCCACCCGGATGGGAACCGCATTCAGCGGCTGAGAAGTACTGGCCTCACCAGCACCCCGAGGGGGAAGGACGGCCACAGTAACCTTCGCCCTCTCCTTTTCCTCTTCCTCCTCAGCAACTTGGACGGCGAGGGCCAACTCCTCATCTTCGGCGGTCCGCTCGAATTCCTCCGCCTCGGCCTCGGCCATCAGATCCTTCTGCACCTCGGTGGCGAGAGCTGCATCACCACCATCCGAGGGCTGACTGCTACTGGACTCCACGTCGGAGATGCCTTCGTCCTCCATCGAGGGTGTCCTCGAGATGTCCTGGGAATCGCTCTCGGACGACATTTTTATCACGAAGTGTGCCTAAGATTTCGAAGGCTTTCTACAGGACTCTAACCCTAATCTAAGGCCAGAGGGCGGAACTTACTAAAAGTTTGGAGAGGAGAGCAGGACACTGACCTTGAAAGCTGAGTTTTGACCGAAGGCTTGAGTTTCTCTCTCTAGAATTTTTGGTAGAGCTTCGCTAAGACAGATGATCGCACAAGAGGAAATGGCTCTGGCCTTGGGGTATTTATAGGCGCTGGAATCCGGGCTTGTGCTTGGATTCCGGGCCTCCGGATGGACCGCCATCATTACACACCGCGTCTTCGCCCAACCAATGATGCCGCCCACGGACAGCCAGCCATCACGTGCCACGTGTACTCCTCCCCCAACGGCTATAAACCTGACGTTACATATTCCAACGGCTATATCTCCAACGGCTGTATTCTGGAAGCCCCCGAGTTTTCTACTTCACTCCACTTCTTCAAGGAGAGCCTCCGGGTACACTTACCCAGAGACGCCCCCGGGTTGTGCCCCACACAGCACATAACAGACGCCTTCGGGATCACTCCTTCAGAAACCCAAGGCTTCATATCAGGGCACCCCTCGGGGATTCCCCCTCAGCACTGTAAAAACCGGGTAGCCCCCGGGGAGTTACCTCATTGACGGATAGCTTACAGCACACAGGTAATGGGAGCCCTCGGGTATCCTCATCACCAACTAACCAGCAGGCAGAGGACCCCCCCCGGCGACAAATCAATTACTGCCCTCATCCATCATGCCCTCGATCCCCAGGTTGCGGGTCTCCCCTTCGGCACTCCCAGGACATCAACAGCAAGCCTTCGGCTAATCAACACATTAGCCCTCAGAAAAAGAAGAGCCTTCGGCATTACCGTTATTCTCCATTTTTGACCAAGGTTTCACATTTTCGATTCATCGTTGGGGGAATTCGGTGCACTCTTTTTCCCTCATTAGGATTTTTTCCCCCAGGGTTTTTCCTAATGAGGTTTTTAACGAGGCATCCCCCCAAAATGAAACGAAAAGCGTCAGCCTTCGGCCCACAACAGCAACGCAACTACTTCACTCCTTTTCACCACTTTACAAGTGCCTCAAGGAGTGGGGGACTGGAGGACCCCCTCGGGAAAATCACTAAATTACAAAGTTAGTGAAATTCCAACAAACGACAAAGCAAACCCTCAAGTCCCGACATGTGGGTAACTGAGGGACTGCCTTCGGCAGGGACATAAAAGCAACAACTCCTCACCAACTTCAGAAATCACGACAGGACAACATCAAAGGGCAAGCAGAAATTACTCCTTTTCCCTCAAATACCTTTCGGCAAAAGGAGTGAGGGACTCCTGATGGAGTATATGGCCCGGGAACACCCGGCCCACAGACTCCTACTACTCCAGTGGAGGCCCAACAGGCCCAGAAGGCCCAACAGGCCCAAATTGCGGCGCCCAGAGTACCCAGCAGCCCGCAATACGCACCAGGCGGTGCCTTCGGCCCCCTGGCCAAAGGCTCCAAACTCTCACAGAACGGGTATTTCGAACAAACAGAGGGACTGGGAGAAAACGGCGAGAACAGTAGCCCTCGGCACCTGGAGCCCTCGGCACTCAGGGGTCCTTGGCACTAAGAGCCCTCGGCTAGTCCTCTGCAGCCGAGGGCACCTCTCCCGACATGATATCCGCCTCACATGCGTACAGATCACCGTACCCTGTACAGACGTCCCATCCAACAGCCGCATTAAATGCGGCCACATACGGCTGCCAACGCCAACCAGTTGAGGTGACCTCTCGGACAATAGGCGCTTGACACGCGTCCCTGTCCGGCATTTATTGCTACTATAAATAGCACCCCATTTCCCCATCTGTAACCACGCTGAAAACGCTCCACATTTATAATACACACTCTCTCTCTACATTTACTTGCTCTGACTTCTCTCTAAGTTATTCTCAGCAATAACCCTTCGGATATATACCCCCGGGTAGACTATCCATCACCTCATATAAAGGTTCGGCCCTGCCTCCAGCCTGTCGCGGAACCAGAAATCACCCATCACCGACTCAATTGATTGTCTTCCAATCTTCTTCCTCTTGCAGCAACGGCCAACAACGACGCTCTCGGGAGTCGTCATCTCTGCTAGGGCTGTTAACGAACTGAGCTTTATCGAACTATTCGAGTTCGAGCTCGGTTTCGAACCTAACGAGCCGAACTTAACGAGCTCTCGAACTCAAACCGGAGCTGAATTTTAAGTTCGAAAACTTAATCGAGCCGAGCTCGAACATAGTAGTATTTGGCTCGGTTGGAACTCAAGCCTATCGAACACCTGAAATTATAAATATTATTTATATATATGTTAAAATTTAAATATAATTAGTATGATTTGAGGAATTTAAATATGATTATTAACAAACCGAATACTTGAGGAATCTTTCGAGCACGAGCCTATTAACGAGCATCACCTAAAATTTTAAGTTCGAGCATATTTATCGAGCTTATCAAGCGCTCGGTTCGAACATCGAACGCCTATCGAGTCGAACACGAGTCTCATTTGTAAAGCACTTCGAGCTTCAAGCTCTAACCCGAACACCACTAATTCCTTATCGAGACAAACTCGAGCTTTGGGTGTTCGAGCTCGGCTCGGCTCGTTAACAGCCCTAGCCTTTGCACAGCCGAAGGATGAGATGACGCGTTCATGCTGGAGGAGAAGAGATCAGGTGCTAATAATTCCAAGCCTTTGCGCTGCACAGGATTTCTTTCAACTTGGAGCATGCACAACATATTATCCGATTTATGTCAGAGAAATTAGGTGCTAATAATTTAAATTATGACCACCGCCGCAGATTTGGTTCCATCACAATGTCTTCAGAACTCAATAAACTGGGCAGATTCTTGAAAATCACCAAACATAAGGGGATCTCAATCCTAATTCCCATGGGACATCACAACTCAAGCCTATCCGAGTTTATGATGATTTTCTCTAATTTTGTGGGTTTATCAAATTTGGGTCAGGAGGATCCATCAATCATGAGCTACAGGAACATACCAGATATTGAGGATTTTACATCAATTTCGAAATCTCTATTCAATCTTGATATTTTGGCAACCTGTCCAAACTCACATCGAACGGTAGCTACGGAGGAGGATATATATGGTTCTAAAGAGCACGCTTTAGAACAGTCTCAAACTATTTTTAACTCTCCCGAAATGAACAAGGACAACCGTAAAGAATACTCTTCTCACCCTATGGTTACCAGAAGTCAATCAAGAAGCCATAAAATAGATAACTTCACTGAAGGATTGATAACTAGAAGTCAATCAAAAACGCCCCAGGATGATGAAGACTATTACATCTACCCAGCTTACTCAAGCTACGATTCACCTCAAAAGCTAATAACAGGACTTGAACGCTATAAGTCAGCACACCCAGATGCAAAATCGTACCCTCCTTATCTCCAACGGGCTATCCATTTTCACCTAAAATACAACCCACGACTCTCAACCAATGTAGGTGTGCCTACGACGAGTGTTATTTGTTAACTCTTTCTCTTGCGACTTTTTCTTGTACTTTCCTTTTTCGATCTTTGTACTTGTAATCCTTTTCTTAATAAAATGGAAAGTGTTCCCCGGCGCTTTCCCCGCTCTCAGTGGGATTTCCGGGCACAAAAAAAAAGAGTGCCACAAATACTTAGCCTTAAAAAAAAGAGATCATTGCGAGTGGTGAGCGGTGGCGATGAGCAACGAGCCTGGTTCGAATGGTGATCAAAGAAGCGAATCGAGATCGAAGAAGCGCAATAGGAAAAACCCGATTATACCATGCTCATAGTACAACCGGATGTACGATATAATATGTCGTACAATTAGTGTTTGGTTAACGATCTATTTGGCTTTTTATATCAAATCATCAAAAGAAGGTATTATGTTGAGTAGTTTTTCATATTTGATCTAATTAGCATTTAATGGATGAGTTTACCGCACCTTCAAGGGGTATTGTATATCAGTTGGTATACCGTGGGAGCAGCACATGGTGAGAATGGTGCTCCCACAGCTAATTCACGCGTGAACAGTAACACGTGTGAACAGTAACATTCTTTTTTGTTCCCAGTAATAGGGAGATGTAATTTGTGTGTAATGAAATGTAACTCACGTCAATATGCAAGGTAACTGCAGGCAAGTTGTGGTGTAACTTTTCTAATACGAAGAAGAATAAATAAAACGTTGATTTCAATGTAAACAATGAAAAAAAGTAGTCTAATTGCTCAATTACTATACATAAGTAATAAATATGTTTTGTTTTTAATATTAAGGCCATGAAAATATTTTTTAAATATCTTTTTTTTTTTGCCAAAATATCATTTTTGTTTGCAAAAAAAATGAATTTTTTGTTTCAATAGTTGGAGTTTATTTTGGTATGTAACTAGTGTTATGGAAAATGTAACTCATGTCGATGAAAAAATCTAACTTAGGTGTATGCAAAATGTAACTTGTTGAAGCAAGTCTAAGTGTAACTTGGGTACAAGAAGATGTAACTCACGCATAAAATTGTGTAACTCGTTCATAAGAAAATGTAACTTCATATACTATCAATTGTAAACAATGAAAACAAGGAGCTTAATTGCTCAATTACGTTATGTAAATAGTGAATATGTTTTATTTTTAATATTTAAGGCCATAAAAATTGTTTCTTAGAAAATATATTTTTTGCCAAAACTTTTTTTGGGGATTTTTTTTTTCCAAAAAGAATCAGTTTTTGTGCAAAGAAATGGTTATTTTCTTTCAATAGCTGAGGTTTTTTTAGTGATGTAACTCATATTATGAAAAATGTAACACGTACTGATTGAAAACTAACTTAGGTATATGCAAAATGTAACTTCTTGAGATAAGTCTAGATGTAACTCGCGCGTATGAAGATGTAACTCACTCATAAAAAGATGCAAGTCACGTACAAGAAGATGTAACTTCATATATTATCAAATGTAAGTCCTGAAATTGTCAATAAACATAACTCACACTTGTAGAAATATAAATCGCACAGGAAAATGTAATCTCATACTTTATCAAATGTAAATCAAAATAACCAAATTTAATGTCTAAAAAAATACTAAAAACATACTCCATATAAGAGAGATAATAAATATATTATAGGAAAAATGTGAATGTGAAAAAATATATTACAAATAAGTGTATAAATATAAAAAATATTTATTCTGAAGAAAAAATAGATAGTTTTTTATTGTATTTTTAGTTGAATAAAAAGAAAAAAAAAGGAAAAGTGTATCAATAAGGACTAAGAGAGAAAGAAAAAGTAATTAATTTATTTGAAAGGATCAAATTTGATCACAAAATTATAATATGTTTTGTGCTCTTAAATTAAAAAAAGTAATTGGAAACATTATAGCTTTTGATGATAAAAAAATCAAAAGAAACAAATGAAAAAGAAAAATGAAATGTGAGTGAAGGATGTGTGAGTGGAGAGAGCATGCAATCATTCAGCAAGTGGTCTTGTATGCTTCATTTATTATACGAAGTAAAAAAACGGTACCGTATTTGGGATGGGTGTACCATGCGCATGGTACACCGATCCCACGGTATAATTTGCCATTGTATATGGACCGTGGCAGATTTTCTTTTAATCCTGCAACTTTTAAATAAGCCATTCAACTTTTAAATCAATACTTCTTATGAATGAATTTTGTAAATTGTATAAATATATGGATCAAGTGGTAGCAAATATATGGATTAAGTGGTAGCAATAATTGAAGCAATAGGATCATCTGAAGTGCTAATAATAGGGGTGGACTCGGGTCCGGGCCGGATCCGGGTCGGGCCGGCGGTTCAGGAATGGTGGACCCGGGACCGGCCCGGGTAGCCACCGGATCCGGTCCGGGCCTCCGTTTTTTTTTTTTGCTTTCCTAACCCCCCCCCCCTCACCCCACCCTCCCAAACCCCCCAAACCCATCCTACCCATCAAGCCCAACCCGGGTGGAACCCCAAAAATGAAAAAAAAAATCAATTTGGCCCGGGCCCGAACCGAGCCCGGACCCGCCCTACCCCCGGGGCCTAGGCCCGACCCGGACCCGAGAACCGGGCCGGGCCGGGCCGGTTCACGGGCCGGGCCGGGCCGGTTCACGGGCCGGGTCGCCCGACCCGAGTCCAACCATAGCTAATAAGCATATCATGAGGTATATCAATGACGACCTCTCCATCTCTGACATTGAAGCAATATTTCCATATCCTATTTTTAGCACCAAATGTGAGCAACTTTTCTTTTGTCAACATTACAATTCGAAGAAACATATTGTGGCCTCATATTTTTTGTTAAACCGTGAACGTGATAGTGTCCTCATATGTATGAGGCATTAATAGTAGCACGAACAACCTCTTGCTTCGATGTCTTTGGTATGACGGGAATATTTGCCTGAATCACCACAAAAAAAAAAGCAATAAATGTCCCTCCAAATGGAAGCTTCAAGCTACCAGGATTGTGAAATTTGAGCAAATCCTTTAATGTCATGTCAACATCTTCAAAGCAATGTTCGTGTGTCATTGGAGCTTAATCCCATATGATAAACTTCACTTTGATTATTAGCTCAGCTAGATGACTTCCATGTTTTATATTGCAAGTGGAGTCTTCATTGATGTTAATAGGAATGACAAACCGGGAATGAGTTAATATTAGACCTGATCTAATATTAGAGCTGCAATATGATATTAGAACCCTAGCGTCGCAGGTATTCATCGCCTCATCGGTTGATCCCTTCGATGGCAAGCGTTCCGCTATGTACTTTCTATCCTCTTTCGATTGATTATTGGTGACATCACTCCGGGAGATTCATGATAGGATATGACTCAACTGGACTGTTCTTCATTTATTGTTGTATTTGTCATGTTTTGTGGTGGCTTTTTTCCGAGCACTGGAGCTCCAGTGTGTTTTGTCTTCTTTGGTGTGAGGAGTTGCTTTGGTGTCATGACCACCTTAGCTTCGCCTTGTTAGGGATCTCTATCTTCCTTCTTTTGGGTTGCGTAAAGAATAGATGATACGTAAGAGTGTTTTTTACTTCATTTGTTTCTATGTCTATTCAGAACGAAGTGAGAAGAAGAATTCGGTATTTCCCATATTGCAGAAGCTCGTCCTCCTCCGACACCATCTTCGTGCCAAGAAGACTTTTGTGGGAAGGTTTTATTCCAGTACTACTTTCGCTTTAGTAGTACTTGTTTTTATTTTAGTTCGAGTAGGTTTGATTCGGATATTTGACTTTTTAGAGTACTTTTGATAGGCAATTTTTCGGCTCCGGTCATTTTAGAGTTAAAATTGTTTGTTTTATATCTAGCGTGTTATGTTGCTTTGTATGAGGTGGCTAACTATATGTCCATTCCTAGAGCTTACGATCGGAACGGTAATAACTCTATTAAGTTTATCTTGTATGTTTTCTCGATATAAATATAAATGCCGCTCTTTTATATTAAAAGAACATCCATCTAGATTTTAATGTTTACTCGACAGTCCAATTTTCTAGTCCAGACCGGATTATGCTCAGCCCTAACTCTAGTGGTGTCATACTCTTGCTAACATGGCCACTGATACATTATAATTACAGTGTAATCATAATGAGATGTTGAAATGAACCAATAATAAGCACTTTTAGTTATTGCACCCTCGTTTATCAAGAGGATTGCTCCATAAGCTCCAGATAACCTTGTGGGGGTTGAACCCGGATGATTATGCATGCCCAAGACTTAAATCGCACACTTGGTTAGTGTAACACTTAGTTTTCCTTTATGTGATTATTATATCACTCCATTTTGCTGTAACACTTGTTCCACACTGTTAACGAGAAAGCTGCCCAAGCTACTTGGCATTTAGTTCTGTTCTGGATGGTGATTAATGTAGGATTTTTCTGGTATTAATGTTTTGCAATGGGGCTATATGTCACGTGAGCAAATGCACTTCATACAAATTAATGCATGCAAATACAGCAGCAGCTTCTGTATTATTATTGATAATTTATGGTATGACTACAACAACTGGTTGTGACATGTAATAAGTGAAGGAAAGCAATGATTTCTCTCGAGGGATCCAAATGAATATATACTAACCCAGGAACAGCGGAACCTTGGGGGAACTAGAAAAATATAGAAAGAGTCTCTTTTCTTATATGCTACTCAACACTCCTTTTAAAAGATCTAGTCCTTCAGCCGATATGCTCCTCCTCCTCGAGAATCTTGGGATTTCTATCCGAGGGGGTGGGTCGGGAGAGAAGCAGACAACTACTACCGTCAGGTTATCACATGTGTTGCGCTTGAGTGCTTCCCTTACGAGCTCCCTCGCACACTTCTCCGGATCGTTGTGCACCATTAGCTCCTTCCTCACTATCGTCACTGCACACTGACTGCTCATCACGTCCCATAAACCGTCGCACCCCATGATCAAGAACTCATCCTCTTCCGTTAACACTATCTCTTCTAGCTCTGGCTCCGCACTTAAAGGACCCTTTGACCCTTTGGGACCCTTCAGGTGCCAGTCTCCAAGAGCTCGTGCAACTGACAGCTGCCCATTGAGATAACCATCATAAATCACACCACCTAGTTTTTCAATTCGCAGCCTTTCAGATGCGCAATTTGGTTTGTGGTCTTTTGATAACTCAATTGCTCTTCCTCGTTTCCCTAGTACAGCACGAGAGTCCCCGGCATTAGCAATTATCGTGGTTCTGTTGAATTGGAAGCAAAATACATTAAAATTGTCTCAAATGACATAGTTCATTAAAGATTAGGAATGACACCTAAAATACACAGCTGAGTTGAACGGATTTGGTCAACTCAAGTTAAGAAGGATGAACTGTAAGGTTTACTACACAAAGATGGAGCCATGATTTATGTTAGAAGGGACTAAAGAAAACTAAGAACAATTAGTACTCTCTTAGAAGGGACTAAAGAAAACTAAGAACAATTAGTACTCTCTTGGTCAAATAACAAATGTTCCTACTTCAGAGGTTTTTATGATCAAAAAAGAGATTTTTTTAAATTCAAATTATGATAAAGTTTCAAGAAACATGAAAAAAAGGAATAAAACAAGTCGTGTTTTAAATTTCGTTAAACTGCAAAAAGAATTTGTAATGTATCGGTCCCATTTGTGATTTATAATATTTGTATCTTGACAAAATAAAAAACTACACTTTGATCAAAACTGACTCTTTTTACGGGACAGAGGAAGTATTAAAAATCCATCATCCATACCAGAAGAACACATAAAACACACACACACATATATACACAAAAATACATGTATATATGCAGTATGTATTTGTGAAAACTACCCCTCAGCCCCCCACCAACTCAGGGCTCCATCCCTGACAATATGTACTGAATATGAATAGAAAAATGTGTTATATAGTACACATGATTTTCCTCAGTTGACCACATGTTTAACTAAAGATGAACAAACATATGAAACCATTGATACTCCTTGGAGTAATGTAGGGCATATACAAACTTGAGTTTAGATAAAGCTATGCTTAGAGTCTCATTGCAGAAGCATCAAGGGGACAAAAGGACAAATGAACTTGAAAAGTGACCAAATAAGAGTTGAAGGTTATGCATCTTATTTTGAAAGATTGAGGATCTCAAATACGTAAAAGTGTAACAAAAAAGCACATAAATCTTTTCCATTACTCACTTCTGAATCATTTTGTAGTACACTTATATTTGCATAGGCCCAAAGACTATACATCTCAAATAACACTACTTTTAAATAATCTTGATTTTAGTAATAATTAACATGTACTTGCACGCTATACTCCCTTAAACTAGAAATGCTATTTTTACAAATTCTAAATATACTAGTATAATATATTCAGAATTATGTAACAGAGTGGAGCTGCCTTAAATGATTGCTAGTACCAATAAAACCATCACAAGAAAGGCATATACTATCTCCGTCCCACTAACATTGGGACATGAGGAGATGGTTCGGTTATTAAGAAAAGTGGGTTTATGTGGTTAATATTGAATTGATAAAGTAGGAATAAAGTAAAAAAGATTTAGACCACATAAACTTTGCCAAATTTGGCATAGGACAATTTTAGTGAGACGGACCAAAAAGGAAAGATGAGACAATCTTAGTGGGACGGAGCCACGGAGGGAGTATTATCTTACCGTCCTAACATAAGTGCCGCCAGAGCAGTTGTCCCAGATGAACTATCAAGCGATTTAGCATCAGCCAGTGCATGATCAGCTTTTGCAAAAGCACTCCTGATTGCTCTTTTTGATGCAGACGGAAAATGGGAATCCTCAACAATGAAATTAAGGAGATTCTTTTGAGCAAATGATGCAGCATCAACACCACCATGCCCATCAAACACCTGAAATAAAGACAAACCTCATCGAGAAACTCTAGCTCTACTGGTAAAAACAATCAAGTTGTTCTTCACTGATACTTCAAGAGTAATTCAAACGAAGTATTTCATTCGTCCAATTAAGATTTTTTTAGGAAAACTGTAGATTTTATCAATTCTTGGAAGACAATTTGGAGAGTTAGGAGTGTGAGCACATCAAATTTCAAAATTCAATGCGGCTACAGAACGACTACTAAATGGTTAGCTTTCGTCTCATTCATGTGACATGGGAGTCCAATAAACAAGTACTCCCTCCGTATTTAAAAGATCCCTACATTAGGTGTTGGCACAAGATTTAAGGGGAGAATGGTATGGGTAATGAATAGTGTGGAAAAGGAGGAGAGAAGGTAAAAAAGTAGGAAAGCGAAGATAAAAAGTAGAAAAAGCAAGGGTAGTTGAGTATTTTTAAAGGAAAAACTTACCAAAAAGGGAAAGTGTAGCAAACTTTTAAATACATACCAAATAGGAAAGTGAAGCAAACTTTTAAATACAGAGGGAGTAATAATGTTCATGAGCTTTTGTATAATACTATTTGAAGTTGTTTCTACACGTTCCATTTCAAGCACTATTTGAAATAAATTCTAACCATTAAAGTTACATACCCCAAAAAAGGCACTTGGAGAAGGAAACTCCAACGCATTATCAAAATGTTCGTGAAGATTATCCACACAGACATGCTTATCTTCCATATAAGTTTTTGGACCCATTTCAGCACAGCTTCCTGACCGGAATATAGGGACAATTCCAGCACTCTCAAGTGGGGGAGATTTGAGACCTGTTATTTGATTTGTTGACTCCTAAAAGTTGGATTAAAATCCCATGTTACAGTCAGCAATTTGATATATTGTAGTACTAAATACATGACAACTTATCAGAAAAAACCAATACAAACAAAGAATTACCAAATAAGTAGGTTATTTTATGCTTCATGGTTGTGATTTTGCAGCATAGTTTTCGGATTTGGGAACTGTGTAATGGTTAGAATCCAAATGTTTTTGAAGGTCACATCTACCTTCCTCTACATGTTATCTTTTTGTTTTTCACAACGGTTTTCTCCTAAAAGGTAGCACGGTTCTACAAGGAAAATATCAAATATTGCAAAATATTCAAATCAGCATTGTGATTTTCTCCTTGAAGTTAGCAATCGAGCTACTCCAACACTAATAATCAATTATACTTCCCATCAGCCTGTGTTCCTTACTTCTGCCCATGAAGGAATATGGGACTATTTCCAGACTAGTCATGTCAAATGAATTAAACAAGGAAAGATGAAGAAAACTGTTTTTAAATTTGGGATACAATTGAAAGAAAATTTAAAAAGATCATAAAAACAGTTGATGGCTTACATCTTTTCCCAAAGTGACTATTGCTGAATTTTACTATGAAGCATCGTCTACCCTCTTGCATTGATCAATCAGAGTTTAAAGTTTTCTTTAGAGCTTTATGTCCGAGCTAAAATATACAATTTCAGCACACAAGTTATTAACAAGTACTTAAAACTAAGGATACTATCGGAAAGAAAGAACTCAGTGAAGAGGAGCTCAATCTGATTGGGAAAGATCTCACCCAAAGTGATTTTTTTACTGGACTAGCTCCAATTTCAGGTCTATTTTCATGGACCTGACTGCTCTGCTCTTTTCATTATTTCCCATTCTACTGGCTACCTTTTTAGGAGCTCAAGTGCTTCTCTATTTATCCAGTTACTCAAAACACCACGGTTCTCACTGGTAACTTCAATAGTCACTCTTTGTGTGTGGCAAATAATTTGACTGGATAGCACTATGTTCTGACATTAAGCCCCACAAAAGTAGAAGAAATTTCCTCCAAACTGTGTTGATAAATTCTCTCTCATTTTACTTTTAAGCTTTTTAATTGATATGCATCAGTGTCTTTGTTCTGTTACAACACGGTTAGTAAGAGAACAAGGCTCTTTACAATTCATGATCAAGAAAAAGTAACACACCCAAGTTACCAACTATAAATAACTGATTGTGACTCATTAAAAAGAGTATTATAAGTTTCATTTAGTATTAAATAGAGGAGGTTGATTGTTGTTGGGAGCCTTTGCGGCACCGGGGTAATGTTGTTGTTTGTTGTTATTGAAGGAGGTTGATTAATTTATTATCAAGAACTGCAGATGCCCTGTTTTGAAGGGAAGCCTTGGCGCACCGGTTACGTGACTGAGAGATCACGGGTTGAAGTCTTGGGAGCGCCCTCTTGTCAAAATGACAAGGGAAGGCTTTCCCCTTATACACCCTTGTAGTGGGACCCTTCCCCGGACCCTCGCCTTGCGGAGACGCCAATGTGCCCTTTACCTGCACATGCCTTGTTTCACAACGGGATTTCAGGTTGTCATTTAGGTCTGGAAAAAATGGTGGATATTTTGAGCAGAGCAATGAGTGTTCACAAATGGTTCAAAAGATTATGCACGCTTTGCTGCTCTTTTGGGGCGTAGTAATGAAAGAACGTAACATCAAAAGAAAATGTATTACCATGATACTTCATTGACATGGTAGCATTTAGCCTTTTATGTAAAGATCTCAAAGTTATCCAGGATTTTCTTGAGATGAATTCTAGTACTGTTATTATCTTTTCAAGGCAAATGCATAAAAACTCTATCGATTTCATTAGAAGCAGAACACAGTTTAGGATTTGTGAATGCCCTTTAGAAATATCCACTGCATAGCTACTGCACATACTAAGACCTATCGATCTATAATCTACACATGTTCCGAACCGAACAATTAGATTTAGAATGCAATAAATTGTTAGTATACAAGGATTCTAGTCAAGAAGAAAAATATCCATGAGTTCATAATAGACGTGGGATATTGCTCCCGTATTTCGATCCTGACAATCTTGATTCAAGTAGCTGGAACTTTGTCACGATCCCAACTAAATTATGTCGGGAGAATCGGGTTCTTGTATATATATAAGAAGTCAGGATGTGAGGATGTCAACAGCGTGCGCATACAGGCTCAAGAGGTTGTCCACTTCGGCTAAAACATTAATTGGAAGGATTTATGCATATACTCGTATTTTAGTGTGGTAAATGAGAGAACCCAGTTTATTCCAAAAACAGGAGAGGGACAACTTTCTTTTTGCAAGTAGATGACTCCTCTGGGAAAGATGTGACTAATTCAACATTTCAAGCAATTGTCCCGATCTCTTCAACTAGAAAATGAAAAGAGCTGATAACAATGTTTGGACCTTATGGATACTGAATAGAATAGTTAGGTAAAGCGAGTGATTAATCTCTGACAAAATAATATACGTAGTATCTGGTTAGATTTGAGATTTCATACTCGGGATTTAATGTGTTCCAGGTCAGGATCCTAATTTAATTGGGGTTTATTATCATGATCTTGACTTAAACAATGAAGGATAGGGATCTTTTTAGCCTCTAACTGGGATCAGGATAGGATTGAAATTTTGGTAATTGGGATCGTCCAGATCATAGGGAAGCAAGAAAATGAAATAAGGAACTACTCACCAATTCAAAGATACCTGCCAACGTTGCTTGACTAATACTATGTCGGATCATGAGATTCCTGGGAGGTTTCCCAGCATTTCCATGGCCTGAAATATCAATCTGTACCTGATTTCCATCTACATCGGAAACAATTCCCTCATCACATACCTCATTCTGTAATTCCCCACCACAGGTCCCAGGTGCCATTCTTCTCTTCAAACGCTCTTGTGATCCGTCAACTACTAATCGCCCTCTCAACAATCAACATTCACTTAACAAGCAACCTTCAATTTCTCTTTTGTTAATAAAACATATACTTATTGGCCTTTGAGGCCTTTACTCGAACACGTGGACGGCTAAACATGTGTTCCATGATTCAAACTGAACAACAATAGAATAACCGAAATTTATGTTTGGGAAATCAAAATAAATCTTTGCAAAGATTCAATCTTTTTATATTTTAGATTATATATACATGTGTGTGTGTGTGTGTTTATAAACAATACAGGGGATGTACAAGAAAAGGTGAAGGCGTGAAGCAAGGACCAAAAGAGAGAAAAAGAAAGCGAAAATGGACGGGGTGAGAAAGCGATGCTAAATCTTTGAAGGAGATGAAGGAGTGGACAGTTTTGCGTGAATGTGAGTGGAGGTGGGAGGGGGGTGAGTGGCGATTCATGCTTTGAGCAAGAAGCCGCCATTATCGGTATGAGCTTTTGTGGGAGATTCGCTTGTTGACACGTGGATGCTCCCACTGTCTAGCCTTTTTCTTCTTTCTGACGTTAGTTTTAGTTACGATTCCTAGGGCGTTGATGAAGTTAGTTTTCTGACCATCTCGGGGCACCCCATTGTTCCAAAAGGTGGAATCTCTCATCCCAGTCCCACCCGGACTCGACATGATGGTGGGGAGGTTAGTTACGGTGACTCAGTCAGTAGAATGGTAGTAAGCTCATACACTCATGCGCATAAGAGGTCCAACCTTATTTCAGGTTCTGAGAACTCCACCCGATCGCTGTGGGGATTCGAACATTGATTCATTGTTCCAAATTTCTCACCACTCGACCAACTGAACTACCCGTGCGGGTATCTCGGGACACCCCAACTTTTACTTCGGGCACCCACTTCGGGCACCCACAATTTACATTACATGGACTCTTTTATTCTTAGTTGGATTCGTTTTTTATGTTTTGTTCCCAGCATATGCGTACTAATTATAAACCTATGCGACATGCTTAAGCTTGAAATACAGAAATAGTGAAACGAGTGATTCCTACTATTCTTGTCTAATTACTCTCTGAATTTATTTCAACTGGGAATATAAATCCCAAATACGATTAAGTATTTATATTATATTATTGGTATTATATTATTATTATCACTACTATTTAATTATCATTATTATTAGGTAATTGTTATTACTACTCAATTATTATTGTTAAGTAATTATTATTAATACTCAGTTATTATTATTATTATTATTATTAAACATATTATTAATATTCAATTGACTCATGTGTTGCACGGATGACAAATGAACTTAACAACCTATTCGTAACTTATGTCTTCAGCTTATCAATCTTATTATCCATTTTTATTATCAAATATTCCGTAATCACATTTTTTATTTCATGTTCAGAATGATGTAATAAATAATCTCAATAAACAGGGTTGAATTTACTTTTCTGATTGATTTGATTGAAATTGCAAAAGATGACTATTGAAGCTATTTCTCATACACCTCTTTCTTTAATTTGCAAAAGATTCATTAAATTTAGTCACTTCAATCATCATGTTTAATAAACTAGGGGCTCGTTTGGTGACTCTTTTTTTCTACTTATCAGCCGTATCATACAACTTTTTCCCCAAACACGGGATTTTTTATTTCACGCACTGAATTGTGTAATAATAATAAAAAAAGTAAAATTGGAGTTAACTTTCTGACTGTATTGACTGAATTTATTGCAGAGCACTATTTTAGCTATTTTCATGTAATTTTTTCTTTTTTTATTAATAAAAAATATTTTAAATATAATTTTTTCGTTAATATATATTAACAGGATTAGTCAATTTCAGTGTTACCAAAGAGACTCGAGATGAGACTACACCAAAATTTAGAAGCTTTTTAGACTTTTTAGGTTTAATTAAAAAAATATTATTCTTAGTGTGCTATTTTTTTGAAAAGACCGAGTCATAAATGATAAATGTAAAACTTATAACATTTTATAAAAAATTGTTTACCACAAGCCACCAAATTATTGGTTGTAGAGTTAATTTTAAAATTTAACAGGAGCTCCAGGCTTGTCACGTGTGAAGCTATTGTTAACAAACAAAATTAATTAAAGAATTGAAAAGGATAAAATAGTCTTCAAAGGATTACATAAAGTAAGAATGGAGGTGCTTCTAGCAATACCTGTAGGACACGTTTGCTTCACGACTTATTAAACGGTGCTTATTAAGACTCGCGTTAATAAGCGGCGCATAAAATAAACGGTGTTGTAAGCTCGTATTTACTTCAAATCATTTAAAACACCGTTTAACATTAAAATGTCCAAAATAGCCTTATACATATATAGACATAGAAACATACATGAACACAAGTATATAATATAATACGTGGGCGTCACCTCGTACGCGTACCCATACCCCTACCCCGCCAAACCCCGACCACTAACCCTACCCTGACCTACCCCTTTAAGGTAAAAGGGGTGGGTGGGTGGGACGGGATAAGGTAGAGTTAGGGGGTAGGGGTAGGGGTGGGGTAGAGGGTAACAATAGGGTAAGGGCAAGGAGTAAGGGTAAATTCGGAAACTTAAAAAGCTTAAAGTGCCGCTTAATTAATACATGGGGGTGGTATGCTTAGTAAGCGACACTTTAAGCACATCTTTCGGTTAGTAAACGGCTTTTTAAGCAGCATGCGTGTTTACTTCACATGTCTTACTAACCTAAATGTGACTTTAGCAGCGAACTAAACGCCTCCTTAGTTTTTCGGCTGCTTGTATTTTTTTTCGCCGTTCCTGCGCATCTTGATCGCTGCTTACATTTATTTTCTTCTCTTTTTCTCTTTTCATTTTTCATTGCTTTGACTCGTTGTTTTGCTTCTTCTTTTTGTTTATTCCCTTTGTTATTAAGTGTCCCTTTAGGCTCTGGCACGGGTTTTAAGGAGAAAATAATAGGGGTAATGTAAAAAGTATAGTGATTTGTGTTTAAATGATAAAGTAGAAAAGATAAAAAGGTAGGGGTAATAAAAGTGAGGGTATAAAGGTATTTTGATTGGAAAAACTTACCAAAAAAGGAAAGAGAGACAAATAATTAAAAACGTCCCAAAAAGGAATACGAAACAGTTAATAAAGAATGGAGGTAGTATTTTACTTTTTGCTTTTCGTTTCTTTATTTTTTCTTTTTAACAATCTTTTACTTTATATTTTTATTCAATTATTATGAAAATGTATCATATAAAATATTATTTAATGTTTGAGTTTGTTTGTTCTTTTTTCAATCAACCTTCTAACTTAAATTTTTTAATTTGTGCAATAAAATATTTTAGGTATTAATGTTTGTGTTTTCTATTTTTAATTTTAAGATGTATATTTATTAGTTTATTAAATATTGTATGTTAATTACTAAAATGAGTTTTGTGTTATACTAACATGAGTATAATCTGTATATATTTAACAATGGAATCGGCCGGGATAACCTGTTCCCGCCTGATTCCATCGTGACAACCAAATGGACAGATCTGGCCATTAAAGATTACACGTGTCAATTGATCGTTAAATACAAATTCTACTATTGCACGATCAATAAAATCCTGTCTATTCTCTGAAGCCACCACGTGGCAATACTATAGGGCATGCGAAGTGCATAATGGGCCAGTTGCATGTCAACCTGCACGAACACAAAATGGCAGTTTATCAGCGGTTTTAACCCACTAAACTCAATATTTATATGCGGCGAGATTAAGAACTTTAGCCATCAAAACTCAGGAGCACGAATATCAGTATATTTCCACACGCTTAAATAATACTCCGTATTAATAATATTAATTTTTAATACATACTCCGCATTAAAGTTCTTCAAGGAAGTTCCACGCCTGTTTGGAGGAGTGGGGGTTACAACAGAGTGCAAGCACGATTACATTAGGTGAATTCACATAAAAATACTACAACATAATTCTGAGTATACAACACACAAAAATTGAGTATTCCCCCTTCAAGCACCGGCTACCCAGGTTCTGAAATTAGACAACTGAACAGATCCAATGAGAAAGCTAACTGGCGGCCATACTATGAAGAGGCAGAATGAGAATAACAGTCCAGGTATTTTAATAAGTGTAAGATAAAAGGAGGACAATGTTCCTGATATATTTAGTTATTTTATGTTTCTGAGGTTATTAGAGGTAGATAGTTACAGAATTTTTTAAAAGCTTGAAGATAGATTTACGTTAAAATCATGCCATAGATGTGATGAACCTTTAATCAGGTAGAAAACATGAGTTTGTCGTATATATGTCCGTATTGAATCAGGTTTGTGAAGTGAAATAGCTCCAACTCAGAAACAAATTGACATGACTTTTAGTTAAAAATCCAAATTAAGGATGCATTTGTGTGTATTTGTACTTAAGATGCGTATATAGCTTACAAAGAGATTTAAAAACAAATACACACACATATAGCCACATACACTTATTGTATACTTTGACCACATTATTTTAGGTGCTTTGACCCCATTAGTATTCTGAAAAATGGATTCAACTTAGAAATTCATTACATAATCTTTGCTGCTTCCATGCCTCAAGATTATGTTTGCTTACGTATCCTTCACTATACAACCCCAAATTATTTCCAAAAATAAGCATGGCAGAAAGCAGAAGGCCATAGATCAGACAAATGAGTTTATAATAGATAGCAAACAAAAGACTCAGAAACTAGAATTTTGCACCTTTATGTTGAAAAGCTTGCACTTTTTCATGATGCTTTTCTTTAACTATTGCTCAAAAAAACAATTGTGATGGATAAAGTACTTGAAAATGAACAACCAATCACATCCAGTTTCATTAATCTGCAATAAACATATAATAACACATTATGAATGCTTCATTTTAGTGCAAATGATCAAAAGATAGACATACACTACAATTATTTCATCATACAAGTGAATATATTCTTATCTTTTGTATAATGCCTTGGTGTGCTTCCTGCTCGAGTATCAAGTCTCTAGCATCCTCCATTTTGACTGAAATCAGCACAAACATTTCAAATTACACCAACATCACACCTAAATGCTCTGTAGTGATGTGCATAAAAAACAATAATGATTATTCAAATATAATACCAACAATCTCAAAATAATTCTCCAGTATTAAGCCTCCAGTATTAAGTCATACTTTGAAAAAAACATAGCTCACTTTTAATTCGATCTTAAACAAAAGTACTATATGGGACTAAAAAGAGAAAAATACAATGCATACACACACACACACATATATACACCTTTAATACACTCAGTAAGCTGGGAAGGATAGGATAGGCAGATAGTATGTAATAACATAGAGAGAAAAGTTGTCTATTTTAGAATCAAAAATACAGTACATCATTTGCACATTATTGTTCTGTTTGAGCTCATTTTATATTTTCGTATCAATTATTTTATCTCTTTTATTACTTTATTATTGATTACTCAATAGTCTTGGTTTAGGTTTAGCTTTAAATCAAAGAAAAGACATACGATTCTTACATTAAATCTCATAATACATCAAGCGGGAGATGAAGTTACAACTA